GTCCTTTGACTCAAGGTCAACATGTTGTTTATTTTGGAGTAGTCTTGGAAAAATTATGAACTTTTTTCATTTATCTTAACTGATTCCCAAGGATTTTTTTTTTTCTGGTAAAGTATTTGATTAGGGATTATAATAAAGAAAGATAATCCTAGCCTGGATTTATTGTATTCTTAAAATTTTTATAATTAAAATATTTTTAATTGTAATGTGTTTTTAAATAAAAAATAGAGTAACAAAAGCACACGAATTAAAAAGTGAAAGTTCTCTTTCTTCCCTGTTGCCACCAAAGATAGTAATCACTAAAAACGTTGTTGTTGCTAATATATCATATGATTAGAACAGTGTATCATATATGGTATGTGTGCAGATGAGCAAAAATGTCTAAGTCTAGCTGTTTTAAAAGTCATTGTTGGTGAAAACAAAAGTAGCTACCATCCTTAGGACATAGAATATTGTCAGGACCCTAGGAGCCTCCTGTGTCTCCCCACCATGACAGCTATTATTCTTTTATGTTATGCAGTATTTTTCTTTAAAGTTTTACCATGGATGTATGTATTCCTAAACAATATATTTATAATTTTTTTTTTGAAAACTTGAGAAGCATAACCTGTCTACCACCGCCACTATTAGATGAAGACTCCTGGAGGTATAGAGTCTTTGTGATAGTCTGACCTCAGCTTCCCAGAGGGTTGACCGGATCCTTTTCTGGGGAAGATAGTGGGCAAGTTTATACATAAATTAGCCCTGGAAGACCAGAGTCAAGGGCTCACCACAGTCAGAGCATCTGCCGGTACTGCAGATATTGGTGGGATCTTTTTAAAACCTCAGATATACAGTTCCACTATGGCATAACCACTTCCCCCATGAGTGCATGTGAGTAAAGTATGTACAACAGAATAAAGGCCTTTGGAGATTAGGGTACAGGACAGTTGGCCAGATGTTTCTACCTAATGATTTGGTTTTTGACATCAGCCTTGCAGTATTCAAATTTCAGCTTTGAGTTTTAGTAAAATTACAGATTACTTACCTCAGGGACCTTTGGTTTGTTCATGCATAGTTGAATATGTAGGTGTTAAATATCTAAATATCAAGAGCCTCCCATAGAGTGCCTGGCAAATAGTAGGTGCAAAAAGGTAGACCTTTGAGAGTGTTTTTTTCCCCAACTTCCTCACCTGTAAAAGTCTAGGTTATGTGATGAGGTCATGTTAAGTGGTGGAGCTGGATACATGCTCCTGGCTCATAGACCTCTGATACCAGCATCTATCAATGCTGGGATTTTTGCCACATGTCCCATGTATTGTATGTTTTAGAGGGTAGAGAGCCCTTTGTTCTTAAGGCTCTTAATAAAACTAACCTGTATACTGATCGAGTCCATGCTTATATATACCATATCATTTTTAACATACTAAAACATGAATCATCTGCCTTTGTTTTTTTTTTTTTTTTTTTTTTTTACCCATGGTGGGATGCTAAAGGTATCACACCTTTAGCGTGGCTATCTTGGGCTGGGTGTGTGCACTTTGTCCCTAGGACATGTACCCTTGTGATTTCTTACAACTCCCCAGTGTGTACCCTATCCCTCATTAATATGAGCTACAGTTCTCTGCTTTAGCCATGCTGTTTCAGATTTCTGTGACTCTGCATGTTTTGTGTTACTGCCTGGAATAATCTCTCCTCTCCCTCAAACTCTCATTCTCCAAGAGTCTAATGTCTTCATTAGTCTCTTTTAGCACAGTTCATCTGGCTTTACTTTGCTCTACCTTTAACACCTGTTGCATACCTCAATTATACCTCTGTTATAGCATGTATCACATTGAATTGCAATAATTTATTAGCATACGTAGCTTCGGTATTAGACTATGAGAACAATACTAGTTAATATTAGAATTGTGTTAATAAAATAACTAAGATTTTATGAAGTAAAAATATGTATCTTTCTTAAGGAACTATAGGTATCCCCACTGGATATCTCATTAATCCTTGTCCGAGAGCATCCTCCTACATTGTCGTACTCTAGGAATAAAGTATGCAACTGAGTAAGAAGTCCAGGTGGGCTATGCTTTGGTTCCTGTACTCTATTTTGTCTATTTGATATTGCAATCATTTGAACCATAGCTGGTTAGATAGCTTTGGCGAGTGTCAGAATCAGAATCACATTATGAGCTCGGAAGTAAGTGAGGTAAGAGATCTTATTAACTCATCTTAGGGAAGTGGTCTTATGGAAAAAATTAGTTCTTGGGTTATACTGAAGTATAGCTTTTCAAGATGATCAATAATTTTGTGTTCTGTAACTGTTTGGGGCAATAAAATGGATACTCCATTTTAAAATTGTGATTATTCCTTTACCACAGGCTTTTTTTTTGAGAATGTCATCAGTATTATATAAAGAATGCACAAAAATATTAAATTGCAGTGTTTGTGATTATCTGTGATGGGGCCTTTATTTTACAGGATTTTAAAAAATGAGATGTTTGTTTAATTTACCAGTTATATAACCAGACTTTCCCCCAGCAGAAGCTGGGGATCCTCATCCATGGCCTGCCCCAGGTTTTATGTGCTGTACGTTGTGCTAGGGGATGTTAAGGTAAGAAAGGCTTTAGGTTCCTTCACTTAGTTCCTGTGAACTTCTAAAATTTGGAATAATTTTTGTATGAGGTATTAAAAGTTCTGTTTAGAATTGTGACATTTTAATCTTATAGACTAATTGTTTTTAAAGTGTGTGTTTAATTACAGAAGTAATCTAGTTCTTGAAAAATAAGTATAGTGTGGCATCTTGGACTGAGCATGGACTCTGACACCAGATTACTTGGATTCAGATCCCGGCTCTGCTGTTTACTAGCTCTCTTAATCTTGAGCATGTTATTTAACCACCTCGTGCCTCATTATCCTTATCTATAAAAGGTGGGGTAATGAAAGTACATTACTGTGGGTTGTTGGGAGTGTAAACAAGTTCACACATAAGATACACGAAATAGTGCCTAGCATATTCTAAAAAGCTCACATTGCATGTTTTTTAAATTTATATTTTAATCTACATACAGTAAAAAAATAACTTTTTAAGGCATGTTTTGTGAGTTTCAACAACGGCATAGTCTTATAACTGTCATTGCCATTGGGAAACAGAAGTTTCCTCAACGCTTCCCTGCCCCGCCACCCCCGCCTTTCCTTGTGCTGCCCCTTCATATCACACCCTCTCCTCACCCCCAACCTTTGGCAACACTGATCTGTTTCCCCCTCTTCTAGTTTTGCCTTTTCCTGAATGTCATATAAATGAAATCATACAGTAAAAAAGAAATACGTTTTGAGTTGGACTTCCTTCACTCAGCATAATGCATTCGAGATAAACCCAAGATACTGCATCTATCAGTAGTTTGTCTTTAGTGCTGAGTAGTATTTCATTCCTTGGATATACAGTTTGTTAATCCATTTACCCCCTGATCAGCATTTGGGTTGTTTCCAGTTTTGGATAATTGTGAATAATGATGCTATAAACACTTATGTACAGGTTTTTGTGTCAACATAAGTTTTCATTTGTCCTGGATATTCAGTAGTGGGATTGCTGGGTAAATGTACAGTTAACATTTTGAGAAACTGCCCAGACTGTTTCCCAGAGTGACCATACCATTTCTTATACCCCCCAAGCAATGCATTTGAGTTCTGATTGCTATGCGTGCTTGCCAGCACTTGATTTTGCCAGTTTTTAAAATAAATTTCAGCCACTCTAAATGAGTGTGTAGCTAGCATAATTCTTAACCAAGTTTGTCTTGTAAACCCTTGAGACTTGAAAGACGATATAGAATGGGGCTCAGTTAAATGCAGGGCCAGGGAGGAGTTCATAAGGGGACGGAGAGACCATTAGGTTTGTGAGAGCTTGATATGTCTGTCATCGTCACTGTGTTCACTGTTGTATCCCCAAATGACTAACACAGTGCCTGGCACACAGTAGGAGACTCTTTGTATGTTTATTGACTCATTGAGCAAATGATTGAGAGGTAAGGGAAAAAACAAGGAGTAGAATAGAAAATAGTGTTAGATTAGGCTTGGTCTAGTATATTTATGTGATACCCTTTATATCTGTTTAAGTCTGAGTAATCCTAGTATATTCACGTGATACTCTTTATATCTGTTTAAGTCTGTATATAAATACGTGTTTAAAAGTTGACTGAATTCCCATCCCCTTTGCAGGAAGAAGCAGAAGGCAGAAAGGAGTCAATGCTACTAACTACTGATTATTCTACTGATTATGTAGAGTTAGGAAAGTCATCTTAACTCTTTGGTCCTCAGCTTCATCACTGTAAAATGAAAACATTTTATTAGATTGTATCTAAGCTCCTTTAACTAGAATTTTTTTTTTCTTATAATCACATCAGATGTGAAATGGTGTAGTAAGTGAGGAAGAACCCTGCCTGATCCTTTAAGAGGGAGGTGGGGTGGTGGTGGGCAGACAGGGAGCGCAGTTATATATGAATACATTGTTAAGGGCTGCTCATCAGGGAGTTTAGGGGTGTCTAAGCAGGTCAAGCTAATGGCTAGTTAGAAACAAACAGTATAGGAGAAGGTAGTTACAGAGTTTTCAAATAGAGTAGCAGCATTGCAGGAATTTTGAGGGGGTATAAAAGGAAGTAGGTGTTGAGAATTCTGTACTTAGAAACTTATTTGGAATATTTTAAGATTTTTACGTCCTGGAAAAGTAAATGTACAGGTTTATGTTAATACTAATAAACAGATAAAAAACAAGGGTTCGTAAACGAGGCAGCTTTATTTTTGGAGGTCAGACATTATACTCTTTTGAAAGTATCTATTTCTAATGTACTGACAACTTGTTAGACCTGTAGGACATGTAAGAGGGTTACTTCTACGGTATTCAAGCTCTTATATCCTTTATCAGATCCATTTCTGTAGCCCTATAATTAAAAATTATTATATGCATCATTCTGAAATTGAATATGGGCAGTTAGTTATACATATAGTAACAAAATATGTCCTTTTATATCTTTCAGAATCATGGTGTCATGGAAAGGGATTTACTTTATACTCACTCTGTTTTGGGGAAGCTTTTTTGGAAGCATTTTCATGCTGGGTCCCTTTTTACCTTTGATGTTTGTAAACCCATCTTGGTATCGCTGGATCAACAACCGCCTCGTGGCAACCTGGCTCACACTTCCTGTGGTAAGTTACACACCAGAAGAGGAGACTGTCTGGACTAAAGTGGCTCAACCTATTGATTTTTCCTTTTTAGTGTCAGATTTAGTCAAATGTTAGATTTAAGTCCTTTGTGTTATATATAAGAAGTGCATTTAGAATTTAAAGGGGGAAATATAAAAACTAGAGAGAAATAAAAATAATTCATATCCTTGAAGTTAAATATCTAATTAAGAGATATGTAGAAATTGAATTTCTTTCATGTTTTCATGAATTTTCTTATTTTCCTTCATTGAGGTATGCTTTACATGTAGTAAAATACACAAATACAGTTAAAGTATTTTTGCATCATTAATTTTATTTTGCATTTCCATTTATTTTACATAACAATGGCATAATTAATTTTAGATAGCAAACTTTTTTAAACTTGTGATATTGATGTTATCAATTTAATTCTTCCAAGTGATCATAGAATTTAGGATTAAAGTGATTGCTCAGCTGTGGGCTAGGTTCACAGCATCTGTAAGGTATTATGTATACATATAAAATGTGTAGCAGATTCTTAGAACAGCCAGATATTCTCTGCCAGGTCGGTTCATGCTCCTCTGAGCACACTTCCCTCTCATCTTGAGCTGGGGACTTGCTGTAGGATTCCAGTCCAGACTCCTGCCTTGTCTGGGACCGAGGAAGCTTTCATCCTTCTCTAAAAATGGAGCGATATGTATGCACCTGCCTTTACCTTGACTAGGTTGTATATCTTGAGAGTATTCTGTTCCTTCTTTCCTGAGCATCGCCTAGAACTTAGTGATACTTGGTTTATTGACCTTTTATAGTGGAGATAATGAATATAATTCCTTAAAGGGAAAACCAGACAGGAAACTTCTTCCTTCAGTTGTTGAAAAATGTTCTTTTACCTGTTTCTTTTGAATTGAATTGTATTTCTCCGCAAACAGACTGCCATTATTACGTTTGTAGAGAGGAGAGTATCACGCTAACGAAATAGAGCCCTCAAGTGGAGATTGATTGAGAAATATTTTCAGAGACAGTGGTGGGTGTACCTACCTTGATGGAGTAGACATTTCTTGTTTCCTGTAAATTGAATTTTAATAAATCATATATAGTACACCCTTCTTTTCATATTTAAAAAGGAACCTTGTGACGAATAACTTTATAAATTGCATTTATTCTCTGTTTACAAGGTTAATTTGGTTTTAAATTTTCATCCAGATATATTTGTTATGAAATGTGATACTGTTAAACTAAAAGCAGCCCTCTACCTCCGTCACTCCTTCCTCTTCCCTCTTTTCTGTTTGCACTAAACCTGTCTACTTTATATGCATAAAGAAAGGGACAGCATACTGGTAGGTAATAAATAATGGTGGTGTGGTTGGATATTTAATTCAGGTATTAGAAGAATTAGAAGATTTCGTTAAAAGGAAAAATCAAAGTAAACTCAAGGATAATGATGAACATAGCTTTTGACCACTATGTGGGAGATATTGTGTTAAGTGCTTTAGGAAGATAGTTTCATTTCAAGTGCCACCATTATCTCAATTTTACAGGAGAGGAAATATAAGCTTTGAGAAGTTAAATAATTTGTCCAAGGTCACACACAGAAGCTAATTATTTAATCACAGCTGAGATTAAACCTTGATTGTCTGCTGCTATTAGAGCCTTAGGTGATAGGAAAACTTTCAAAGATTGGTCAGGGTCACATGGAATCTTAACAGAAGTTCACCGGTACCTCTCGATTATTTCAAAAGAAGGTTTGGAGTTCTTTCAAGCCAGGGACGCCTGACTTGAAAAAAAAATATCTGAGAAACTGATAACTAGCGATAAAATATGTCTCAGTAATGTGATGATTTCCTCACAGTGGAAGAAGAAAGTTGGCAAGAAATAGTCATAGAAAGACTTATTTTTTGCTAGAGGAGCCAAAGATACAGGTTGTTGAAATACCTAGAACAAGGTAGGTGTTAATATTTATTGGATGAGTAGGCAAACATGAAGTTTCAAGGTCAAACTGCCCAAACTTTGGTATCAGAGTTTTGCTGGCTTCATAAAGCAAGTTGTGTGCGGTGTTCTCTCCTCCATTTTTGAAAGAAAATTTCATATATATAAATTTTTTTCAGTTGTTGTTTAGGGATTAATGTATCTTTAATGTATCACAATCCACTTAGAGTTTTTACAAAATCATGTAAAATATAAGAACTTGTAACAGTGTAGTGCATTTATTCTTATATCCTTTGTGCTGCCTACTTACATAATTAACTTCATAATGCAGTTATAACTTTTTGCTTTAAATAGTTGTGTCTTTTAAAGAAATTAGAAGAAAAAGTATAGTCTCTTATTTAAATATTTTCCCTTTTTAGTGTTCTTTATTCTTCTTGTATATTAGAGTTTCCATCTAGTGTCTTTTCCCTTCAGCCTGAAGAACTTCGTTTAGCTTTAGTGAGGGCTTCTATAGCTGAATCGTTTTCACTTAATTGAAATTTTCCTTATTTTGCCTTCATTTTTGAATGATAGTGTTGCTGGCTATAACATTTCTGGAATGATATTTTTTTTCTTTCCATACTTTAAAGTTCTGTTTTATGGTTTCCATTGTTTTTGATTAAAAGTTAGCCATCATACATATTGTTGCTTCTCTTTATGTAATGTATCATTTTTCTCTGGCTGCTTTCAATATTTCTCATTTTTTACA